GGCCAGATTATGTTGAGGGATTTTGAGATCCTCCTTAACATCCTTCACTTGTTTCTTAATGCCTTAGAAAGATTTGCTTCTCAAGATGATATCAGGTTGGAGCCTCATGAGTTTTCTTCAAAGAGCTATCATACCATATCCTCTGACAGGTTGGTTTTGTAACACCGTTTTTCTACCCTATAAATAATAAGGTAAAATAACACAAATATCAGAGTAAATTATTAAATTTCACAAAAAAGCCACCAAAAGGGCGTACATTTCCCAATGTCATCAAAATAGGCCACGACTCCGTAAACAACGAGTTTTTCCCAAAATACATCAAACAACATAAAACAACAGAATTCAAAAGGCATAACTAAAGGTTTTCCTCATCAGGGAACATAAGCAAAATAATTCAACAGTATATAGTTTAACTCAAAAGAACCCAACCCGATGTTACATATCAGAGCAAGACCCTCTAAGTTAACCAAAAAGCTAACAACTCAAAAACTTCAAAAATAATCCTCGATGACATCCACGACTAAACTCGGTCATCTGCATGTTACCCACGTAGAGGTAACATTCAAACAGTCAGGGTGAGTAAAACAATTCATAATAATCAATGTATAAAAATCAACATATAAACGACGTCATAATCATATTCAACACATTCATATCCTTCAATAGGCCTCAAGGTCACAATGTCATAATTCATACAAAAGACTCATAAATGCAAATACAACATAGACTCAATGCATGTGGTACTAATCATCACAGCTCGATGGACACTGGGCCATCAACCCTCCATAGATCCCCATCAATAGGATCGATTCTGCTAGAGAACCAGACCACATCAAAACACTTCACATCCACACAATGGGATTGAAGTCAAAGTAATCGAGGTCCTGAACCGAAGTCCGGATGCACATGTCACAAATCATCCTCATATAGCAGCACAGGTGCATCATCATTCATCATATCATCACCATCATAGTCATCATCATATCTCATGTCATCATATGATTCATTAAAATTACGGTAATATCATCATGTTATATTAATCAATACATCATTGAAATCATCATGTCATCACGTACACATCACATAAAACCCATGGTCATACTCATTTTAACTTATCACAGAAATCACAGAATCAAACATCAAGGCATCGCTGCACACAATCAACATTCACGAAACTCTGCTACGTTCGCTGGGATGTTCGCTAGGCGAGTCTGAGGCGAATTTCTTCGCTATGCGAAGGATTCTTCGCTAGGCGAGTCTGGGAATAACATGGTTTGCTAGGCGAGGCTTTCTTCGCTAGGAGAGTTGCGCGATGAAAGTAAATTCTGCTACGGAACCTGAAATCACTCAAAAAGCTCTACGATTCACTTACCCAATGCCCCCAAAACACCCCTAAATCATCCCTAAGATCCTACGGCGATAAAGACACAAAACCTACGATTTATTAGGCCAATCTCGTGACATATTCATGCCCTAAATCATAATTTTTCCTTCAATTACACCCTAAGGCATTAGAGTTTCTCACATTCAAATATTCATATTCCTTCAGGGCCAGACAGGTTCAATTCATGGTTTTGGCCACGAAGGCCTAAGGTTTCCCTTTCTCATATCTATGCTCTAACTGTCAGGAATACTTACCGCTACGCCACAACATCAGAGTTCCCAAAACTAGATTTAGGCTACGAAGGCCAAAATCCCTTTTCTCATAATTCTCCATAAAACCCTTAAATCAACCATAATCACATAGAAAGTTACACATGGAAAATCATAAAAAGCTATACTCCCCATACCTTAAACGTTGATTCAAAGCCTTCACGATTATCTCCCGGAATCTTCTGCCTCCAATCTTCTCCTCAGAGCTCTCTGGCCACAATTCTTTTCACGGTATACAAAAATGAATCCTAAAACCCTTCAGAATTCCCTTTTTGTTAAACCTAGACTTGGGTCTCCCAATTAGGCTTTTCCCATAATGCCCTCACTTACTCCTCTCAATGTCCAAATTACCCTTCTTTCACTATTATTTATTTTAATTCATAATAATATTAATAAATTAATATTATGTACTATCAATTAAATAAATAACCCACAAATTGCATAATTCTCAATAATTCACAAAACCACCGAAAATCACCGAAAACACCAAAATACGAATATTCTCAATTAAATAAATAAATTAAAATATTCCAATCAAATTTGAGGTGTTACAGATTCCAATTCAAATTAACCATATATAAAAAACCCTCAGTTGAAACTGCTGGATTTTGAAACTTGAAGGCCTTTTTGAACGACTTGTTAGAGTTTTGCTTCATGAGGCAAAGAATGGCATGGTCAAAAACTCCATTGTCCATGATTTTAAGAAGAAAAGCAGCATGACTTTGATGCCAAACCAGGTTAGCAAACACCCTTTCAATCTTTGAGTAAATAGGATTATCAGCCTGATTATTAAGCTAAGTATGAAAGTTACCAATACTCTCTTTGTCATGCAAGCCAGTTCTAATGAGCATATTTGCCAATTTTCTATACTCAGCTTCCTGCACTGTGGCTCCTCCCAATCTGTCCTGAACATGAAACACATTATTGAAGTCTCCTATTAAAAACCAAGTCTCACATCTGTCAGGTTGCAACCTCTCTATGTCTTGCCAAATGATTCTTCTATTGTCCAATGTGTTGTGAGTATATATAGCAGTGCACCACATGTTGAAAGAACCATTCAGATCATAGATAACACAATGAATGAAATTGAGCAGAGCAACTAATTTTCCTCATTGTAACTTTATTCTGATTCCACATTATCCAAAAATCCTGCCATTCCTGTGCTCATTATAGTTGTCAAGATAAGACCAATGAGAACCTAATTTGTTCCTAATACTAACGGCTTTTGCTTCTTCTACTCTATTTTTGACCAAAACAACTATGTTAGGGTTAATGCTCTTGAGGCAGGAGGAAACCTCTCTACATTTCCGACTATTGTTGATCCCCATAGTATTCCAAGCAACAATCATTAACCTTTGTCTACAAAAATTAGGGGATCATTCAAAATCCCTAATGTCTTAAATCCATTTTGACATACAATATCAACTATTTGTTTACCTACAGAGTTTACCTTACCTTTCCCTTTCCAGCTGCTTCTCACTTCTGTCCATGTAGTATATTCCTTAACCTGATCCCTTTGAGGTGGTACTTGTTCCACTGCCTTTGACATGTTTTTGACAACTTCCTTCTCTTTCCATTATTTCACAACTTTGCTTTCCTTATTGGATTTATGCCCAATTTTCTTACAAGATTCACAAAAGAGGGGTTTCCATTCATACTCCACAGGTTGTTGAAACTTGTTCCCCTCACGGTCCTTTATGGTGATGGAATCATGCTGCTTTTGAGTAATATCTATCTCAACTAGTATTCTTGCATATGATATACGAAGTTTATTTGCTGTGCACTCGTCTGTGACTAGAGGGTTACCTATAACACTCCCAATTTTCCCAAGGCTTTTGGGACCCCAGAAATACAAAGGAAAATGAGGAAGTTTAACTCGTTTTGGAAGTGTTATAAGCATATTGCGTTGAAAGTTGAAATTTGGTTTCCAATCTTTGAGGATCATTGACATATTGTATATCATATACGGGCCCTTCATTTGCACCATTTCTTTCTCTGTAAACGATTTGAATCTCAAGATGAAATACCCTTCTTCATGGTAGAACATTTCAAAGAGCTTGACGAAATTCCAATACTTTGTCATGAACTGTTTCACAAAATTCATACTTAAGTCCTTCCCTAATACGTACATAATGAGAAACGTTTCCCAGTATTTTATCTCCATTTCCACATCTTCTTATTCTATTGTCACTTCAACTTCTCCTTCAACAATTGATGGAACAATAAACTCAATGTTCATTCCATTTTCTGGAATGTGGTTCCCGCTGATAACGTCAACCCACCGTTTACTACTACTCTTCTCTTTGTGGATATTCTTCTCATCTACTTCAAGCACATGGTTCTTAATTAGAGTTTGAGCAATGATTTCCTTTTCACTGCTCTCTTTACCCAATCCTGCTACACCATTCTTACCTTCTCCCTTCGCATTAGATTTCAGTATTTCCGTAACATAAGGAGTGAAAGCGTTTGGAGTTATAACCCTACTCTTTTTCGCCCGACCTCTCCTTTTCTTCACCGTGACTTACAACCAACTCAACCACTACCCACTTTTCATGGTTACTTATTATAATTATTATTATTATTATTATTATTATTATTATTATTTCTGTTACATATTATTATTATAGTTACTTATTATTATTATTATTATTATTATTATTATTATTATTATTATATAATCTTTTATTTTCAATATCATTATTATTAAAATTTAAATTAAATTTAGATGTAACATATTCTTAGAGTGTGGTTCAAGAAAATAAAAATAGACATTGACAAAAAAAATTGCATTTTAACAAGTAATAAAACCCTAAATCAACAATACTCATCAGCTCAGTAAGGTTCTAACAACTATATCACATACAATTTGGACTCGCACTGATATCATACCAACGCAGCGGAGTTTTGAGCAAGTCATCTTCCAGGTTTTCCTTTCTCCTTTTTCTCCATTCCGATGTTTCTCCCCTTTCCCCGCGCGGTTGCGCTACCGTGCGATCCCACCGCGATAATCGTCTCTGCAAAGCAGCGCGATTGCCAACGTAGATCTGTTTGAATTCCAATTTTGATGTTCTGAATCTGAATAATAAATCACGGTGATAGAGAACTACACTGGATCTGTTTTTAGGAAAAAACGAAATTGTTTTCAGATCCTAAGAAGCAGTAAATCAATGAAAATAATTTATATTTTTGTTATACTTTTAGGTTTTTAGGAATTTTTGTTATTTAATTTGCGGTACCTTTTTCTCACTTTCTTTGGCAGGAAGCTTATATAAAACCATTACTTCATTCTCTTTTTGTAATTGACCTCAACCACTGCAAGTACTGATACTGGAAATTAATCCAAAAACATGAGTCGAGGAAGTGGAGGTGGATACGATCGTCACATCACTATTTTCTCCCCTGAGGGGCGTCTCTTTCAAGTTGGTATGTATTATGTAACTTGTATTTATAACCCATAATTTTTCAGTTGACTAAAGAATTACACTACAATGTAATGAGGCTTAGTAGTCATCATAGATTCATGAAAATTTTCTGCTATTGTTTTACTTCGCTTGTTTGGAAATGAGTTTACTAGTTTGGTAGATTAAGTTGTGGGTTTTTCAATATGTTAAACAGAGTATGCTTTCAAGGCTGTTAAGGCTGCAGGGATAACCTCGATTGGTGTCCGTGGAAACAATTCTGTCTGTGTTGTTACCCAGAAAAAAGTTCCGGTGAGTACAGGACGTTGACTGTTAGCTTTTATTTTGCTTGTATGAATGTTGGTGCTTACCGCGTAAGATGGAAATGTTCATTGCAGGACAAGCTCTTGGACCAGACAAGTGTAACACATCTCTTTCCCATCACAAAGTACCTCGGTTTACTGGCAACTGGCATGACAGGTATGCTTTTCATCGCATCTCTTCATCGTTTTTGTGGTAGATTTGTTGGTTTATTTGCTTACATTTTCAGTTAAAAATATAGATGTTTCTTGTAAAAGTTGATTCAGACAGCACATACCTGACAATGTCTCCACTATATCGCGTCTAGTAAATATAACTAAGAATTTGAAAAACCTGATATCATCTCAAAGAGTTCTCCTTGATTGGTTCATGGCTATAAACTTATATTAGAATGCTTAATGTTCTCCTTGACTGTGGCGGTTTGGCAATTTGAGATTGTTTTTTGTATCAATGTTACCTTAAGTAATTTTTTATTCTATTTTTGATGTTAGTCATGAAATCAATGCAACTCAACACAAAGTATGATTAATATTTAACAATTGGAAAATAGTTCTAGTTGACCTGAATGTTACCTTCAAAGTTGTGCATGCTTCTGCTGCATGTCTATGTCCAACTAGATATTTGATTACAGACTTGGTATATAGTATAGACAGTGTAATATATATATTTTTTTAAATTAAGTTGAACTATGATATATGATAAGATATTTTTATTTCAACTAGAGAAAATGAATATTTTGTTTAAAGATGTATTTTGTACAAAAATAAATTAACATCCAAAATTCATCTTCACTTCATCCTGTTTTAATTTTTCTTTCCAGCTGATGCTAGGACACTGGTTCAACAAGCAAGAAATGAAGCAGCCGAGTTTCGCCATAAATATGGATATGAGATGCCCGTGGATGTGTTGGCTAAATGGTAGTACTTTTAGCATCTAATGTACTAACGCAATGCATAAAATTTTGTTACTTTTCCTTCCAAACAGCTGGTAACATATTCTGATTTAGGAAACACACCGTGCCTAGGACTATTAGCTAGTCATTGAAGCTTGACTGTTACAATGTCTTGCAAGTTACCATGCCTTCTGGGGGGTAAAATAAATGTAAACTCTCTATAAGTGTTATTTTATTTTGGAGGCATTCCCATGCCTTGCAATGGAGTCTTGAGCACTGTCCTCTAAACATCAATGGAGTCTTGAGCACTGTCCTCTAAACATCAATGGAGTCTTGGGCTTTCCCATGCCTTGCAATGGAGTCTTGAGCATTGTCCTCTAAACATCAATGGAGTCTTGGGCTTTCCCACGCCTTGCAATGGAGTTTTGGGCACCAAATGAAAAATATTTAGCCCTAGTTGTAAATCTTATATTAAAGTGAACAGTGGCTGAGCTGAGTGACTTTTACTTTTCTTTTTTACCTCCCCTTTTCTCTATGTGATTCTGTGTCGGCTTAATAGTTGTTGATGTAACAGATATGTCCCGTTTCTCACCCAGTCACCGGAATAGCACCTATTATGATTGAACATTTGTGATAGATAGATAAGCTCTAAAGCTTTTCTGTAACCGAAGGATAGTATACCATTTATTCTGGGACACTTGTAGAGCTTGAGATTATAGGGCTGTTTAAGTTGGACTCACGGAATTCCTGAGAAAAAAATGTCAATTGCTTTTGTGGTTGTGGCTGTGGGAGAGTGTTGTTATTACACTACTATTCATTCTTCATAAATTATCATCTCTTTGCTTTCAATTTCTTTCCTGGGTATGGATGCCCGTGTTATCACTGGTTAATCTGTTATATTCTCTTAGGACTCACTTCACTTTTACAATCCTTAAAAGGACCTTAAAAGGAGTATCAAAGAGGTCTATGCAACGTAATATGACTACTAGCTCAATCATTCAACATTGTAATTAGGATATGGGCTCAAATTCTCAATAAAAATTGGCCTGTGGCCCCTATAAAACTGTCTGTAATTAGGATACTTTTTCTACAATCGAACACCATTAACTAATGTGCTTCTTGGCTACTGCCATTACATGCAATTGTTAATTTTTTTGACACCCCATATGCTCTTAGGTTGCAATGACTTTATTATAATGCATCTGTTGGCTCTTTCTGTATTTTTGACTGTTGTCAACAGCCACATTGTTTAAGTCTACACATTTTAAGTTTTTACAATTTGTTTATAACATTTTTTGTATCTAACTTGTGTATTATTTTACACTCACAGGATTGCAGACAAGTCACAAGTCTATACTCAACATGCTTATATGAGACCACTTGGAGTAGGTAAATTATTCCAAGCCTTTTTACAGTAATATTGGACGAATGATTACGAATTAACCTTGCATAATGTTTTACAAGTCAAATATTTACTGTCATTATTGATATCATTTTTCTTTCTATGGTTTTGAATCTATTGTGCTGCAAAGTTGCTATGGTCTTGGGTATTGATGACGAAAATGGGCCTCAGCTTTACAAATGTGACCCCGCTGGTCATTACTTTGGTCACAAGGTACATAGGAGATCATTTCATACTTTGATTAATGTTATATTTTTATTTCAGTGTATATGATCATTTCTTGCTCACAAATTTCAGTTACATATAAGTTTATTCTAGGAATTTTAATTAAGTGTTTGTTCATTAAATTTTCTATAGAGCTTATTGAAATATGCTGAAACCAACTTTTATGTATATGCACTAAGTTATTTTTATAAGTATATATAAAAACTAATGTGTCTGTGGTGTGCAATAAGTTATTCCAAACACCCCCTTTCTATCTCTTACTCTAAGCCATACATATATGGTGTGTTTGGAACAGCTTATTTTAAACTTATATGTGCTTATGTTTGACATAAGAATTTTTGTTAGTGTTTGTGAGTGCTTATGTCACGCTCTTAAGACTGTCAATGAAATAATGAATTTTAACTTTAAATGCTTTGACAGTAAGAAACAATGTTTCTTGTTTTATTATCATTTCACGTGTTCAGTATCTGTTTTCGTAATTATATGCACTTGCAGACAAAAATCAGATGTCTGTTTTCTAAAATTTTATTATGATGTATTCAGGCCACAAGTGCTGGTTTGAAGGATCAAGAGGCAATTAATTTCTTGGAAAAGAAGATGAAGAACGACCCTTCATTTACCTATGAGGAGACAGTTCAGGTTACATTTTTGCTTCTTATTTTCCCCCTTTCAATCATTTTCATTATTTCATAGTCTTTTAGGTTTAGCTGGTTTTTTTTTTTTGTTAAAAAAGGAGACCACCAGGTTCTCAGTTGTCCTTGAGAACTTATGTGTTTCTAAGGTTATACTTCAACATTTTGGATACTTTTTTTAGCATCTATTGAGGATAAACAATGACTTTTTTGATCCCTTATTTCCATCCCTTTTCTACTTTATTACGCCTTTTGCAAAATAATAGTATTTACTATGCCATTATTCTGTATTAAATGTATGTGCCATTTGGGTGCTGAAGATTGGCTGTGTGATAAGGTGACTTGGTGGTTTGGGGGCAGGACATAGGGGCTTGAGTGATATGGGGACCACGAGTTCAATTGACCCTACTAACAACATAACTAACAAATGGTTCTTGCTTATTAATTTTTTCAAATAGTTATGTGATCACGTTCCTGCTTTTTATTCAGACTGCAATTTCTGCCTTGCAATCAGTTCTTCAAGAGGATTTTAAGGCGACTGAGATTGAGGTAGAGTTTCTGCCTTGCTCAAATACATTTGTGACACTGTTAATTGAAATTTTCTATAGTAACTCTTTATTTTAATTATTTAATGTTTTCATTCTTGTTTAGTCCCTGAAGTGCCAACTCATTTATTGTCTTCAGTTGTGATCATTATTTGCGCTACTTTTTTTTCTTTTTCATTTAACGATAGCCTTGTAGTTTTATACCTGCATGAGTTGATATATGTCTCTTTACAGACATTTTAAAAAGTGCATGTACCCTGACTCTTATCCACATAAGTCGTAATTTTGATACCCTTGTCCGTTGGATATGGAAGGACCTGTGCCCGTTACCTACAGGCTACACAGTTCAATTAGCTATGATAAATATAAAAAAGGAATATTGATTAATTATCCAACTAAAAAAAATTTCAAGATCTTTCAAACTAATCATATAATGTTACAAACTAAACTATTTAACAAAACTAAAGTACAATAAAATAAGCTCATTAAATATTTTAAGGGGTTTATCATATTTTTCCTTTCCTTCTGATTAAATGTTAGTAAACTTCTACAACAATTTCATAAAGTTGTATTAATGTTATTTTCAAAGTTAGTATCAAAACCAAAGTATATAATAATATAAATCAATACAGTAGAGGGGATGGGGCGGTTGGGTATCAAGGCACCTACACCTACAGTCACTCATTTTAGCGAGCAATTCTGTTACCTATAGTAATCTAACGGGTATTTACCCTACCCATTGGGGATAATATTTGCACATACCTATAAGATCCATTGTTCATTTTTCATTGTAATCTCTAGATTATAGTCTATAGTCAAATTTCTGTTCCTTTCCTGTTTCAAGTTATTGTTGATTATCTTTTCTGGATGATTTATAACTAATATAGGTATTGGTGTGTTTTTCGTTCAATGTATTAATGTTGATTATCTTTGAAGTTACATACTTGCTGTGGCATAGATCAAGTGTGTTAACAGTTTTATTCTAAACATATATGTTGATGTTAATGGCTGTATTTTACATTATTTTAGGTTGGAGTGGTGCAAAAGGACAAGCCAGAATTTAGAGTTTTGTCGACTGAGGAAATTGATGAGCACTTGACTGCCATAAGTGAGCGTGATTGAGTTCAAAATTAGGATATGACTGTTAAAACTTTGCGACGTTCAACTAAATCATATACTTAATTATTGTCTTGATTCACTAAATATACATCCTTATGATGTTTAAGTGTCACTGATGTTGAAGACTGTATTTGTTTCTGTTACGAGTTGGAGTCTGCCAATCAATCATGTTTACATCTTCTATCCTTCAAACGTTTTACAGCCCATGTGTTTTGAGTTGAACAGTATTGGTGGTCCTCTCCTGTGTCTGATTCTGTTCAGTTTAACATATTTGAGCAGCATCAGGAAATTAAGAGGATAAAATATACTCGGGGAACACATTTTAAGTTGTCATAATTTTCAACATACAGTTTTAAAAAAAAAAAAATTCGACTTGCTAACAAAATTAAGTGCATGGTTGTTTTAGTGTATACATACATAATACGGAAAATTTTGGTAACAATTGAAATAGGAAGATATTTTGCTTAAATAATGGCGTTTGTATTACATTAAATACGTAAGTTAGTTTCTTAGGTTTCCTGAGTTAACAACTTAAAATTGAGGGAAGAAAGTTAATATTATATAATGGGGTAAATCTACCTAGGTGAGTTTTCACTTCTTTTTTCGCCTGGCTTACTTTTAATAGGACTTAATAATCAACTCACAATTGCTAAGACCATGTTCATTGAAGAATCACTCTCCAACATGATTACTATTTAAAGCTCCTTAAACACTCCAAATTAAGAACCATTATGGCAGATTCTTAAGAAAAAGGAACATTGAAGACAGTCTAAGAGGAAGTGTGTGGTGACTTGTGAAATCGGTTCAACCTCAAATAGATATAGGGGATTGTTTCTTGAACCATTTTCACATCAAAACACATCATAAGTGAGACCCCCCTCCTCCCAAAAAAAATATAGTTTGTAAATGGGTTTTTGGACTTACCTAATACACACCCCATACATTCTCAACTGAGGCTCATTCATTTCGAGATAAATTATTTTAAAGATGCATTTTTATATTCACTCTACACAATACAAAGATGCACTTCCATGTTCCCTCTAAACATTAATTTTATTTTTATTTTATAAATTAAACCACACTCTTAATGCACAAGAAAAAAAAGTCATATATGAATAAATCAATCTACAATACAGTCAAAATAACAAGTAACACAATAATAATGTCCACAATACCTAATACAAATACTACATAATACAAATATTACACAACTGTGTTTGTCAAATCCTCTATTTCTATGCTGTTTGCCTCGTGTACTTGTAGTGTCGTATGTGGCTCAGTAGCGATGACATCCACAATGTTCCTCCCATCTGATCCTTCTGGAATAATTCCTCTCACTATACTTGCATGTGCAAGACCCATGATACGTCGAACATTAAGTAGCACATCAACATAATGATTATCCATGGTCTGCTTGTCCTCTAGTATCTCCTGATGAGTTAATCTAGGTAGATCTCTTAGAGCATCTAGTGTTATATAAGGATGCGACATGCTGAAATACTAAACAACATAGTCGTAATGCACAACTCCAAGCGCTATGAGGTAGGGTACCACGTGCATCATTCGATACCAGATGATTAAGGTAATCATCATACATCCACATCTATGCGAACCATAATAGGAGGAGCAGAATCAACATGGTCTCTGGGAACAAACTGAATGTAGTCAAAATGGTGCATGACGCGCTCAAGAAGATGTGGATACATTAGACGTGATTCACAAGTCAACCATCTAGAGTAAAAGGCTATGTCGTCCTAAAGACGCGTTTAACGATGATCTATGTACGTTTGGAAGTGTATGTCATCTGCTACCATGCAGTCAAGATACACTTTTAAGTAGAGCTGTCAAAATGGGTTAGCCCATATGGGCCGACTTGCTAGACCTGGAAAATCATAAAGTTTGGGCCTTAAATTTAGAGCCCATATTTTTCAGGGCTTTTCTAACCCATCCCTAAAAAGCCAGCTACACATTAAGGCTAGCCCATAAGGCCCACATCGCTATAAATTTTAAAAAATTATATTAATACTTATATCATCTTAATCCAAAATAAAACATAGATTTTTCTCACCTCACTAAATTTTATCTCTATTCCATTAATTCATTCTCTTTTAAATTGATCTTTCCGGTTGATCAGAATCTGAATTGGGCCAGAGACTTCGTCTTTGATGTTGGAATCCAAGGAGGAGGCGTAACACCCAAAAATTTGCCTAATCGTTTCTTGATTTACTGGCTTATGTTTCTCTGCATTTTGCATTTCCGTATATCATAGCATTGGTTCTCGAGACATGGGATCAAGGTGTCTCTGTGGCTCATAGTTCTTTTTTATTGCAAGAGTTTAACCAACGAGCGTCAGAGGCGTCGACATTTATTTTGTCCAGCAACAGAATGTATGATTTTATTTTTATTCAGCAGGTTGTTTTCAGGACAGGTGACAAGTCATAGGATATCTCAGACATTTTCACAATTAGAATATCCAAGGGCATGTTTTAGAGGCTTAATGAGGATCCGAACAGATGGCAACGGGTGATTACACAAGTTTCCCTCCACATGGCGCCAAAATTGATAATTTTTGAAGGTGGTAATCGGTTACCACATATGGGTAATCGATTACCTCAGGCGTAGTTTGCAAAAATATTTGAATTTTCAGCACTGCAGAATTTTCAATCATTTTCAACCCTTGATTTGAAATGTGATTCATTTTCCCATATCCCTCCAAACTTCAAACACTCCATTCCTAATCCCACTCCTAATTTCCATTTCAAACACTAACCCAGACTCCAAACCACATTTTGATTCCTAACAAGGGGTTATTTAATCAAATTTACTCCAAACCATACTCATTCACTCTCATTTTTCATCTCAATTTCAGAATTGTTCTCAAATTCTCTCAACCTTTCTCTCATTATTCAACCTTCCACCAAAGCTCCATAACCAAAAAGCTTCACAAATTATGCATTGCAATTTGTGAATCTTTGAGCTAAACCTTCATTGCATCTGCATCCTTGGTTCAATTATGGTTCTACAGTTCATTTGGATCTTTGATTAAGTTGTTGGAATCACTTTTGGAAGAGTTTTTGCTTATTTATAGATTCTTGCTTGGATCTTCAAGTTTTCTTGCTCAAGCTTCATAGACCCTTGGATTTCTTGCTTGGATTTGTTAATTGTAGCTTAACAACACTTACCAAAGCAATTCTCAGCTTTGTTGGTTAGTAATTTCTAGATCTAGCTTTGATATTGCTTAATCTTGCATGATACAATGTAGATCTTTGGTTGTTGTTGCATTTTGATCCATTTGCTTTGATTTGATATTTGATATTGTTGTTTTTTTGATATAATTGGTGTTTGATTGATGTGATATGACCCAATTTTTGTGCATAATTGATTACTTGTTCATTTGGATGATCGGATAAGTCATTTGCTGTTGAAAAGTGCTTTTGGAAGCTGATTTTTTGCCTCTGTCTTAGTGGTAATCGATTTCCACTATCAGGTAATCGGTTACCCTGCCTATGTTTCACGTTTTTGGTCAACTTTCAAAGGGGTAATCGATTACCTAACCATGATAATCGGTTACCACTGGGAAAAATTGCATTTTTCTTGCATTTTCTTGCTTGTTTGGGTTCCTTTTCACCTCTAACCTTCATGGACTAATATGATGCATTTATGTGGATTATTTTTGACTTTTTTCATCATGCTTAATTGTTTGATTACGATTCTTCGACACATGACTTTTGATTTTCGTTTGAATGCTTAACATGTTCATGTTGCTTGATTGATGTGATGATCATATGTTCTGCTTGCTTGTAGCATGTTAATGATTAAATGTTGATGATTATCTGAATGGACTTGTGATATATGTCTGTATTTGCTTCTGATTCCACTTGTCGCATGACCGACTGAATGGTGTAATTAATGTGAAAAACATGTTTGATCTCGTTAATTCTTATGAGGAAATATTGTTGAACATTTGTGTTTGATTGTTGATGCATGTCCATCCTTGCATGATGCTTCTTCATGATTGGTATTTGCTCATGTTAATTGCATTGAAACATGCTCGCTGACCTGCTTTCACAGCTGTCTTATTATGAACTTTGCATGCTGTCTTTGCTTGCTTGCTTGCTGCCTGCCTTTTACACCTACTTTTGTGTTGAATTAGTAGCTGTTGTATGTTGTTGTGCCGCTGTGCTGGATTTTATTGTTGTTTTGTGCAGGAAGCATTGTTGTAGTTGCTGTTTTGGCTTTGTTTTCTTACTTTTTGCCTTGCCTTTGTATGCTCCTTTAGGATTTCTAGTCCAACTTAATTTCTGATTAAGTATTGGATTAGGATAGACACTAGGAGTGCAATCCTTTCATGATAACAAGTAGGATATTCCCTTTTTAACCTCAAACTTAGGTCCATCTTTTGCATGCTAACATTAGGATATAATCTGCTTTCGCATCCCGACCCTAGGACTACTTTGCATGATAACGTTAGGGCCGAGTTTCTCTTATACCTTCTGTGTGTCTCTCTTCTCATCTTAAAACAATTCTAACTCATCTAATAAAGACGATGAACATTGTGCGCCACGAGCCTTAAGCATATGGGAAATGATGAGTTAGGGGTCTCCTCTCACGTGTCTAGAGAGTGTTTAACGTACGTCCCTTCTGGGGGAAATATGCGACACATTTGTTCCTATATCATAGTCTTTAGTGCAAAGTGAATCATAAAGTAAACTAATTCACTTCACTAAAACTCACAAACAAAAGTCAAACCTTTTATCCTTCGGGATTTGTGTTTCAAACTCATTTTCAAAAAAAAGTACGTTATTTAACGTCGCTCATAAAAAAACACTTAACCAACTTGTGGTTTCCTCTTTTCTCGAACTATGTTTGCTCTGATTTCTCATACCAAATGAGGATACGTAGGCACAAGACAACGATGTCTTGGCGAGCAACCTTCCCCCATCACCCGTAGTTTTCCGTACTACGTTGCCTCTTACTTTCCCATTGCACGAGGGAATACGTAG